GCGCCCCCCCCCCGCCACTCCCAGCATCAGAAGGGATGTCAGATTGCTGTCACCTTCTCTGTAGTTGCCATCCTTTATGCAACAAACCAGTTACCCAGCCTTGGGTGTCGATGCCTTTTTGACTGAGATTGAAAAAGGCATGGCACCTCCTCGGCACAAAGCAAGACTGCAAGAACTACATATGGCCAAAGCATGATTAAATAGGGCTGTTGGGATGGTAGGGGTAAAGCAAAGGGTGAGGAGCGTGTCTAGGACAGTGCAGAGAAAGGCTCGGTAAGGTCCTGCGGACAGAAGGTGATCACACATGGCAGAATCAGGTGCATTTTTACAACCAAGTTAACTCTGCAGTTGGAATTTTGTCAGAATTAGCACTGGGCGGCAAGGAAAAGGGCAAACTTTAGCCATTAGGCGATGAAACCAGCAAGTGAAAAATAAATCAGGTCTAATCACAGGAAATTGCTAGCAATGAAACCTGTTCAACAGTGTTCAAAGTCATAAAGCCTGCTGACTAAGCCACTTGGAATTAGTAGAGATGGGCACTGGGAGAGAAGATGTTGTAGGATAACAAGGTCTCTCCTGCTTGTAGCTTTTTATGCACTTACAAATGTGGAAGACTACCAAAAAGAGCTCAGTTTATGTGAGAAGCATTATGCTGTCAGAGCTGTTCTTTATGAATGTATTCTACTGTAGCAATGAGTCATGTTATCTTCATTGATTAGCAATACCTATTTTTTATTTCACCTTGCAAGACAGTTAATTATTTTGTGGAAACTTTTTGATTTGTTAGTGCAACTTTTCTAAAATAAAGCTCCTGGTAGACTAAATAGACAGATCTCCAAAGTTTTAGTGTTTTAAGTAACTTACCAGCTTACGATTGTGTAATTCACTGCAAGTATAAGAAAAGCAAAGGCATAATGCCAGCAATAGCACATGGTCAGGAACATCATATTAGTGTGATCCATCTGATTCCACTCTGGGCTGCCATTTGGAGGATAAAGCACAAATCCAATCTGTAATAAAATAAAAGATATTTAGCAAATTTCATATGATGTATATGCTACGTCATATCATGTACTATGGTGCCCCTCACAAGGCAGACATTTCATTTTCTTATAGCACTCATTATTTCTGTAATTATTTTTAAAACCAATTTTTCCATCACACTCAGATGTGATGGATCATTTCACACAGTTTGTGCAGAAATGTCCAGTTTTGTGCAGAAACAAGTCCTGCAGCGATCACAGTTTTGTACTGTAAGGAAAGGGGCTGGTGCTCAGCCATGTCTGGTCTGAACTGCAAGCACATCTCTGACCAGCAAACCTGCCCAGCCATTTGCACTGACTCGCTTCTTCCCAACAGTGTCTGGGAATGTGTTACAGGATTCAGAAGATGAATAATAAATTAATAAATAAAGGCAAGCCGTAAGTCTATTTCTTCTGGGTCATCTGGGGAAAAGGTCAGGTTTTGAAATTACTTAAAAATTGAGCTTTCTCACCCAGGACTATGAGTTCATGTGAAACAGATAGCTGAATTGTTTACTCAGAGATGGGAAAGAGCCAACGTAGATTAACTCAAAAGAAGGGAAACTAGTAATGCCATGGCTACACGGGGTCTGCCTTGACAAGCACCGGTCTTCTGTACTGCCTAACACTTTTCAAAGTCACTGCTGAGCAGTTTAGCTGAGAATTTAGGAGCTGGGAAGAGGAGGAGAGGAAGGAGGAGGAGAGGAGTGCACTTTACATTTCCATGCAGAGAATTCAATGAATGAGTGTGTTGATGGCAAAAGAAAGTTCCTTTACCTTTTAAAAATCTGTCATGCTGGAGCCAGTATGTGGTTTTCAGTCTCACATACAGCTGAAGTCTGATGCAAGTGTGAAAAAGCCACACTTAACTCTCTTGTATTTTTAGTTCTTTTTTTTAAAAAAAAAAAAAAACCAAAAAACCTCACATTGTCTCCAGAGCTAAAGAAATAACTTGTTCTAAAATTAGGCCACGCAGACAACAAAGAATAAATGGTTGCATCTAATTCCTCTTATATAAAGCTTCTTAAATTTTGGAAGAAAATTTTACAAAGAAAATAAAACACCAAGTCCTGCAGCACCAGGTTCTTGACTTCACTTATAGAAAAATACTGCTGTTTCAGAGGTCTGTCTTCTTGCCAGAGCAAGTATTTAAATATTTGATTTGGTGCTGAGTGTCCAGTTCTCCTGAGGAACAGCAAACGTTTTTATTAATCCTGTCTGGCCAGCATATAAAAAAGGGAAGCAAGTCTAGACATGCCGGAAAGAAAAATCACTGGAGTGACCTCAGTTCTCCACTATAAGATGAAACACACATCGGCACTAGAGCTCCTATTTCTTTGTTACAAGATCACAGCAATTCATTAAATTCTCTTTCTTGTTTGACAGCAGAGAAAGGGTCACTATCAAATATCTGTTAATTGCATAGAATCACAAGTAAGTGAAGGTATGTCAGCTACATTTCGAAGAGTCCTTTTGGGAGCCACATCCCTGAAATATAAAAGTTTGGGCTGTTACTTCTTCTGCTCAATTTCCCGAACACTGGAAAAGGAGGAGTCTTTTCATCACCCAATCTCTTAATGCAAATCAAGAGCTCAAATGCCTTTTAAACCTAGGTTGCCACTGTTGAAATGCTTTTTAGAAAGTAGAAAGAGGCAGCCGACATGAAACATAATTTTCATCTTCATTCTTCTTCACACAATGTCAATAGGTGCTTTGCCTCACCTGTCCAGTATCCCACTGGGCATTCACTTGCTGCTCCGGCAGCTGGCAGTGGGGACCGCCATCATAAAGAACAGCATATATTGCCGGGCTGTAAAATCACTGCCATTTGGCTGGTGGATTTTGGACAGGATGTTTCAGAGATCAGAGGGGATGTTCAATCTCAAGGGAGAGCTCAACAGAAAAAAACACCGTAGCTTTTTTTGTTGATTCAAATAAAAGACACTAGAAGTAAAATGGCTTCTTCATCTGTAAAACAGATATGATACTTTTATCTCTTTGAAGAGACACTAAGACTGCATTGTTTTCTATGAGTCCTTTGAGATCGGTGTTTAAAAGGCATCTGCAAAGGAGTAAATTACGAATTTTCGTGAAAGAAGAAATTCCTGAGGCAGAAAAGTGACCTACCTGCCAGAACCAGCTGCCTTGTAATATGCAGAGACTTGTACGGAGCATCTCTAGCACAATACTGCCACGAAAGAAAACTTCCAGAAATATGCAAACAGCAGCTCCAAAAATAGCAAATAGCAATAACTGATGAACATGAACATCCAGCATGGCTCTCCCATGAAGATGGTAGCAAAAGAGAAAACCTGGAATAAATTAAGTGATCAGTTTAAGATATTTTGTTCCATTGTAATGTCCCTGCATCTGCTTTTGGAAAACAGTGGACCTTTAGCATTTCTCTTTATGCCAATTTCAACCTCTGAATTGAACTAAGAGTAGTTTTTTAAGACTGGTATCTATGTACTGTGTACTCCCACTCTTGAGCTCAGACCAGGAAATTGCATGGGAAGCTGCAGCTCTGTCACCCTTCATTTAAAACACGTTAACAAAAAGTCTCATCCATTTGTCTCTGCAGTGTAACAAGAGGGATGTGAGGAGATGCACTGTGAATACAGAAAATTGAGTGTGTCTTCAGTGCAATTCCAACATGCGATCGCTGTGCAGGTAAGTGCGCTCACACTGGCTTTAGCTAACAAGTTGTGTACCATGTCAGTACATACCTCGAAGCACACACCCGAGCTACTGAGCACTTACCCAAAAGGAGCTTCTGCTGCTATTTTTGTAATATTTCTGTTGCTGTCTGAGCCAGTTAGGAACGCACAGATCCCCCTCTAGAATGTGTGATTGTGCTCTGGGCTGCAGTGCAGACAAACCCTCAGCAGTTTAAGGAGGGCCAAGACCGATCTTTCTTAAGCGTTTCACGGAGTTAAATACTCAGCTCACATGGGCTCGTTCTTTAAGGCTGATCTGAGATTCCCAGACCGAAGACTGACACCCTTCTGCAAGTTTCACGTGCGCCTCTGCAGGGAGAGGTAAACTGACCTTCAATGAACACTGCTAAGGAAAGCATCATTCTGTCCATGGCCACTGGCAACGCGTTGGTCCCGTGAGCCACGATGTCAACCAACCCTGAAATGCCATAGAAGAGGTACATGGTGGCATGTTGCCAGTTCATCAAGTGATCCCAGTGCTTTTCCTCGTAATTATACAACTTCAGATGAGGTCCATCGGGAACAAACTGCTCAGCCACCATTCCTGTGCAGGAAACAAGAAGTGTAACTATTTGTCCTGGTGCTTAAGGTGTAGACTGATGGTAACTCGTTATACAAACAATATATCCTCATGCAGCGCAACACCAGTCGATTTGGGGTTTAATCTGGCTGCCAGAGGATTGCTCTGGGTGATTGCTGTGGTTTGCTCCCTTCTGCCCAGTTCAGCCTTTCCCAATAAAGTTTTTAACATGCTGTCCAAATTCAAGGGAAAATGCACAGAGACCTCAAAGATATTAATTTTATATAAATTTTCAAGGAAATAGGCCGTGTGTGGAAGAGAGATGAAATAAGTGGCTTTGCTGAGGGAAATACCACAGAGTGAGCTCCAGCATATATTAAACACAACATAATCCGGAGAGGAGAAAGCCAGAGGAAACCAGGCTTCAGCTCCACTCCTGGTGGGACTATTTGCGTCTTGCAGTTTCCAACAGTGAAAATGGAGACAGCTATTCTGTGCTGCCTTTTTTTTTAGAAAACAATTGCTATTGTAATAGTCCTCTGACTGAATTTTTCAGCTGCCTTTCCCAGCAGTTCAAACACAAGTATAACACATGCTAAAGTCCCTAAAAGAAAGATTTACCACTTCAGTTCCCTGCAATATGCAGGATGGCAGAGTTCAGACTCTTAATTCAAAGGGGATTTTTCCTATAAAGCCATAAAAGGAAATCACTCCACCGTGCAGAGTTACTAAAGGTCCCATGAGAATGTATACTGAGTTAGTATTTGAATTGCTGCTCCACCACCTCCCTTACCTTGGCCCCTCGGTGTCTTGCTAACTAGCTACAGTACTCCAGCAAGGGGAAGGTTGCTCTTAGATACTTGATATGATCAATGAAGTTTGGGAAAGGTTAAAAATACGTTATGCTTTTAAAACGTGAATTATATTGTTTATAAAGTGTGGGCCAGCATCCTGCTGTATAAGTAGATATGCTGCAGAGCAAATGCAGTGGTTTTCCACCTTTATTTCAAGTTTTCCTTAGGCAGAAACAGCAGGTTTTACTCCTTCTGCTGCTTTTACTGTTTGTCCTTGCCAGGCTTTCTTGTCCACGTTTTTGACTGGAATTGAAATTACCATATGTTAAAATAATAGCCTTTAGTTTCAGGGTGAAAATAAAAACACTAGATGAGGGTTTTAGCTGCCCGACTACCTCTAGACACTATCTGGGAGATTTGTGGGAAAGATGTTCCCACTCATACCTCAAAATGAACACTATTGTTCAAGTTTTGATATTTTTTTTTATGGCATATGGAAGTGTATACTGTACACACAACATCATTTCAGTGCTGATGTATCTTCACTGATGCAACTCCCAGAGGGGAAGGAAAAGCAAGAACACGATTTTGGCATGGTGTGCACCTTGATTAGAAACCAGGCAACCCTGAGCATCTAAAGAAGAGCAGCTAGATAGAATCTAAACCTCTAAAAATACTGAAAATTAAGATTCTTTTCAACTCAAGAGCCACACATGCTGAGTTCCCCAGGTCCCCTGTCATTTAGTTGCTTATTCTATAAAGGTAAATTGAGAACATACAGCCTGTTGGAATGTAAACAAGAACTAGGCACTTCCAGTCGGTTGCACAGCTCTCTCAACCATCCCCGTGGGTTTGTACCCAGGCCAGTCCACAACAGCAGGAGAAACAGCCCCCACAACCCACTGCAACAGTCCTGCAGCAATAAGATCTGGACTTTGTGAATATTTTCACTTTTGAATGACAGTGATGAGGAAGCATCTGCATGTATGTATTTTATCAATAACTCAGTGGAGACTATCGACATGGGAGATGGATGAATTCAAAATAGAAAAGCAATGCCCTCACAGTCTGGTGCTCCCAGTCTGCATGTGAGATTCCCTTGCCTAAATATCTTATCTCCCTCCCTGAAGCAGTGAACAGCATATGAACACCCAGATGGACCAGCTGAGAAGTCATCTCCAGAAGAGCACTATGGATGGAAACCATGTTACAGTCATATGTAATCAATAGCAGTAGCCCCACTAGTTCTTACATCTTTCATGATGTTTAAAGGGTAAAATACTAAAACACAATGAGATGTTTTATCAGAGAACAAAATTAAAAAAAAAAAAAAAGTGTTAAAAGGCACAGCCATTTTGTTATCTGCCCCAAGTCCACCGTACTTACCAATCAGGGCAAAGACAGCTTTGATGATCCCCTCGACAAACTCCAGGCGCTGAAATCCTGCCCTGGAACCAAGGTAGCAAGCGTTCTTGTTTTTTCGACAGGCGTACTTCATTGGATATTTCACTGACCACCATAAGCCAAAAATAAGGAAAAAGCTTCCAGGGAGGGCATGCCCTTTGAAATTGCCCATGGTTTTCTGCTAGGGAATACCTGAAGGTGAAACAAATGCAGATTGATTATGGGAATAACATGATAATTCTGTGGGTTTTAATTTTACAGTATCTCCTTGTGTTGACCAAAAGAGTGTCACCAAATTAAGTACTCATACTTTATTTTAAAATAAATTTGAGTACTGATCTTCTCTGGCTGTTCAAAACACCCAGCCAGTCTCCCCACTTTTATAGCTTTACAGAACAAGAGTAAGTGAGCCAACTGCAAAGCAGCTGACCTGAAATGCAGAGCTCTGGCAGTTGGCAAGTTAAGAGAAAAAAAGCTGTAGTACACTATGTCATGCTGTTGAAATTGTACTAGCAACAAAGAGAACGTGAATATTCACAATTTGGTTCTTTCACTTTTAGAGCGGGTTTTATGTTTCTTTACGAGCAGAAATCAAGACCATACCTGACTGAAGGAAAGATTGTATATAGATTGACCGGTAACTATCCACTAATAAATTGTATTTTGTATTTCAATCCAGATGTCTCATTATGATTTTCAAACTTGAAGTCATTCTCAGTATTTGATAGGTGAATTATGCACCCGCAACTAGGTAATACTATCGAGTACATCAAGTGCACTAAGTGATAAGGTTATTAGTTGGTCAGTGTTATTTAAAAGCATTTAAAAGCAGTGCCATTAATAAAACCTAGCAATTCTGGTCATCGTTCCAACTTTTAGGAGAGTTAACTTAGCTTTAATAGCTTCTTTATTAAAATGACAGTTCTGACATTAAATCGCAATTTTTCTTTATTATAAACTGAGTTGTTGTGCATCATGACCCAAAGGCATACTAAATGTTTGTTCAGGCAACAATCTAGAACAACTGCTTTAGAAGCATTGGCAATCTGTACTTTCTGTTCTTATTGTTGCTGACTTAAAAATCTGATGGCCACACTACACTACAGCCATCTGCTTATGAACAGAACATGGAGGCTCTGGTATATTTTTCTTTTCAGTAAGTATTTCCTATGGTCAGCTCTGCATAAGAAGTTTTAAACTGTGGCTTGTGGGCCATGGAGTACTTGCAGATGGTTCACGTAATGCTGTCTAGTCACGTAGCATGAGCCCTCTCCTATTTCTGGAGGCTAAACTCCACTGAAAGCATGAATTATATTTTTTTAAGAAAAGAAACTTTTCCACATGCACAGGTCCTGAAGCTGCTGTAAGACTATTACCCAACTGTGTGAGGAGAGGTGACCTATATAGCCACAAAGGAGAAGGAAAAAAAGACAACTGTTCATTTACATTATGAGGCAGTCTGTGATTTAAACAAGGATGCTGAAGAGGGTCCTGCCTCTGCTACCTGTCCCCTCCTCTTCCAGAGCTGATTTCTCCCACTGTAAGGGGTGCAGAAGGGGAGGGGTGAGCTTTAAAAGCTTTCCCTGGATAAAATTCCCCTCAGCTAATTTCTAGGGAAGTGTTACTGAAGTACAAGAAATGTGAAACATGACATCAGTTGCCCAAGGAAGCCCATTTCTGGATGTGGCCTCACACACATTGCCAGCGCAGTGGGAATCAAGCATCACCGATCCTGGCCCAGGGCAGGCTGGGCAGGGCAGGAGGAAGAGGTGGCAGCCGAGGGCCCAAGGGTCAGGAGAGCCTTTCTCTGCCTCTTCCACCACCCTTAAAATCCCACTGGGTTGACACCTGTGTGTTTTATCTGCAGGTGGGGAAAGCACTGCTCGCTCTCAAGCAGCCTCCAGCGCGGTTGGGCTCTCCATGGTGTGGTTGCGGGGCTCAGCCCCACAGGTTAGACCCAGCCCCCGTGGTCTCACAGAAGAGGTACCTCATTTGGGGACATCTACAGTTCAAAGAGTCTGACCAGCTTGTGCATCGCTGCCAGTACTCACTGTGACATTGTCTGCCTCAAAAAAGGGCAGTGCTAATAGGAGCTGAAGATTTAGACAGTCGCCTAAACTTTGCTTTAAACTTTGAGATACGTATTTTGCTTCGAAAGCCTTAACTTCTGTTTCTTCTAAAACTTGCTGAACCAGTCTTTTCAAACACATTGAGTTTCTCCTTCTTTGAATGAAAGGAAGACAAAAGGAGTGAGGAGTGGCCTTTCCTCGCCATCTGTCTGATCTCACTGAATACCGTTCAATAGGAAGACTTTATTCATTAGATATTTTATCATTCACCACAGATACAGAGCACTCCAAATGGAAAGATTTACCCTGTTCCCCACATCAAAGTGAGATACTGGATTTAAGAGGTAGATTAAACCTATGAAAAGCCTCCCTCCTGGTGAGTACAGCTGCAGTAAGGGTCAATTGAAGAACAGTGTGTTAATGTCATTTGTAGTGCACAGCATAGAAAACTTCAAAAGTAATTATCAATCTGTAAATTCACACCTGGGTTATCTAGAGCTCTAATCACTGTAGGATTTTCCATACTAAATCTGTTTAAAACTGTTTTTTACCTTTCAAAACAAGGGAAAAGAAGAGAAGGAAAAGACTGATACAGCAGCTACTGCTGCATATCCAATATAAACAAAACATAACCTGAAAAAAAATTCTTTTTTTGCTATAAGCAATACAATCATATATGATTAGCTTTAGAGAGTATAAACTTCAGTTTGAGTTCATCCAAAGATGTTGGGGATAATTCGTAGGATTTCTCTAGAAAGAGGCACGTCAGATCTGCCAGCCAGCTGTTGTGGCAGACCTTTGGAAAACTGCATCTCAACACAGGTCAGCTTCAGAAAGAAGTTGTATGAATTGTAATTTAAATCCTTAGTAAACTTAAAAACATCATGACAGAGCTCATCTTAAACAGATTAAACTTTCCAATTCATTAATTTTCTCCTGTCGGTCCTGAGAGTTTATTTTTGGCGAGGCTAGAATTCAACTGCCACCACCCACAGTTTTGATGTGACTGAGAGGTTTTGCCTGCAAGTAAACCAGGTGATGCTGCATGGTTTGGGGGCTTAGCATGACACTGAGGAAACGGTGAGGGTAAATGGAGCCTCCTCTGCCAGAAGATCCCTGCGAGATCAGGTGAGGAGGTGGATCTGGGCAGTGCGAGGCAGGGATGCAATAGGAGGTGGAAGGAGAGGAGGAGAGGACGGCAGGCTGTTGCCTTTCTGCGCTGTGCTTTGGCATCCCCCTGTGCAGCCTGGGACAAAGCAGCTCCTGCCAGTTCTTCTGCACAGCTTAGGAGCCAGCCAGTTTTGGTATCTCAGGTGCTATTTATTGGATAAAGATGGCATCAGCATGTTATGACAATACTTAATAATTTTTTACAGAGCATTATCCCATAAGCCAGCAAACAAGTGGTTGGAGGACTGATGTTGCAAGATGTGCAAATCCCAGACCCGATTTTATCCTCAGTGATTTCAGGGCCAAGGGTGCTGGCAGGGCCACAGCCACATTCTCAGCAGCAAACCTTCCTTGCTGCCCACCACCGTCCTTAGAGCGCATCATCTGCCAGAGATGCAAGCAGAGAAAATCTTGAGGCTGCCCCACAGCTGGGGGCCATGAGGTCTGGGTTTGGCCGCGCAGGGTCTGCCCACACTCCCTCCACTGCCCCCCAAAGCCACCCAGTCACACCAGCTGCTGCATGCCTATCCACAGCTGGTGACCTGCTTGCACAACCTCAACCCTGTCCAAATCCTGCTCTTAACCCCGCCAGGCAAAGGCGCCGGTGCTGGTGCCTACAAGAGGCATGCAGACAGCTGGCATCACCCAGCCACAGCCCTCACCTCAGATGACAGAGTTTGGCTTTCTGGCAAGCATACACAGACTCCCTGACCACTGCTGCCCGAATCGCCCATTATCTGCTCCGTGAACCCCCAGGATCCCTGTAGCCTCACTCAGCTTCTCCTGTCCTCACCCCAAAGCCTCACCACCCAGGACTCTTCCACAACCACCAGCAGCCACGGGACTGCAGCAGCCAGGGCACCAACAAATTTTGGACTCTGGCAAAGCAGATTTTGGGCTCTACCTGGGGGAAGCTCCCTCTCTGCCGAGCAGCAGGGCTGCCACCCCGAGGAGTGTGCCCAGGAGCCAGACAAGGCACATATTCCAGTCCAGATTTGGGCTTTCCACAGCAAATACTCCTTGAAACCCCACTCTTGGGAGAGTGTGGGGCACACCAGGAGGTGTCAAGGTGCTGCTGTCAGGGTTCGAAGACACCATGGGTCTTAATTGCCCCAATCAGCCTCACAGGACCCCCATCCTGGCACCCTCACCCAGTGGCCCATGGTCACAGAAGAACTGGAGAAAAAGGTAATTAGGCATAATTATGGCAATAAAGTCAATTGTTGAAGAAGTTTATAAATTATAAGTACCAGGCAAAGTTTCTGCAGCTGATTGGAATAAGCAACGAGAATAATTTACAGCTACCTGTGAATGTGAGATACCTTTTTTGTTTTTCACATGTGAGAACACCAAGCAAGGCTTTTCCTTGCAATAAACACAGAAAGCTCTGCGTGATTCAGGCCTTCCGAGCAATTAGAAAGCTGCAAAGTATTACAAAAGTATTTTACACTCAAACTTTGCCAACCAAATATAGGTTGTTCATGGTTGCCCACAAATTCCCTATGTAGCAGTAATGCTCTGTGTACCTGAGATTTTCATCCCTTGATTCAGGCTGCATCTTGCTTCTTGGGGTCAGAAGGGAATATGGGGATCCACTGACAATGGAGGGGATGAGCAAAGGCAGTTTCCAAGTGAGCATTCAAGAAAAGGTGTGCATTTTTGTGAGCATTAAAAGCTGCCTTTTTAGCCTGAAAATCATCTCACTTATACCAGAAGCAGCATGAAAGGCAGGCAAGTAAGATAATTAATAAGATGATTGGCAAGAGCATCTTCTGACTTTTTTTTGGGGAGGGATGTTTCATAACCTTTATCAGTTTGATTCCTGATCTCTTGCAGTCGCCCATGTGGGGACTAAGGCAAGACTTGCAAGTGATATGGAGAAACTAGCTATGCTACCTGGTTGCTCAGATGACTTCTCAATCTCTTCTCAAAGAACTG